GGAGAGATAGGGAAACGTTGGGGCTAACTGCGGATGGGCCTTGTGGATCATGGAGTAATTAGTGTGTGATTACCATAAAACAAAAATTGGTTGTTAATATAGATAGTTTGTAAGATTAACTGAAACCACAAAAATAAGTGATAACATAGATGCAACATATATATACAACGCCATATATACCTTTTTAAATTTTCAGTAAAAATGAAATGAAATAAAAAAAATCGTGTAAGTGATAGTAGTACTATAGGAGGTGAATAAACCTCTCAAGTACGACATGAAATAACTTGTTGCTACCCACACGTTGTGTTTTCTTATTTATACATCATATCACGTGCTTTCTTTACAAAGTGATCCCGTGGATCAAGCAACTAAAAAACACACATGTTCATCTATAATTTCCAGGCGTTCTTTATACGAACCTCTTGAAACAGGGCTTATTGCTATAGATTCGGTGATCCCTATAGGGTGCGGTTAGCGAGAGTTCATTACTAAGGACAGACAGACTGGCAAAACAACAGTAGCCACAGATACATTTCTCAAGAAAAAAAGGGAAGGATGTAAGAAAAATGAGAGCGAGCCTTCACGAAAGAAAATGCAAGTGAAAGAGAATTGTAAAAATGTCCTAAAAGTGGTGGTTGTTTTCTTTATGGATCGGGTAGATCCATATTTTCTGAGGCGGAGACGCTATCACTACTACAACCACTATCACTATCACTACCATCACCACCACTACTACTCCTACTACTATCAATGGCACGCTTTGGGGTTGGTAAGAATATGGTCATTATTGTAGTTTGTCGATAGTGGACTTGAATGCTTTGCACTTTCATTTTTTGCTCGCTTCGGCATAACTTGGGTCTTTTATGACTTCTTTATTGGCCGGCAAATTTGTGTGTGTGTGTGTGTGCCTTCATCTTGGCTGTGTTCATTCTATCTGTGGAGCTCATTGTGTTTGTATTATCTCGATGCTTCATTTTGAGTCATTAAATTCAGTCTTCGTCGGAAAAAAACAAAGGTGAGGGACATGATCGACATAAATTACTTTTTCTATCATATATTACTTCTACAATTTTTCCAGTTGCAATGCCTAGTTACCTTACCGGTGTCTGCTGACAAATGGCTAATAAATAGCAGTTATACTACCAGCATCACTCAAATATAATGCTCATCCCATCTCTTATAATTTAAAACCGTAAGAGATCCTCTGCATTCACTTTATTTCTGCCGTATCTCACTGTTGTTATGTGGAATAAAATATCAGGAGAAATGATTATAAATACTAGTACAAATGCCCGTGCGTTGCAACGGGCGAAAAATATCGTAAAACCTACTCCGTCTGACAGTACACGCCATTTCTTATACGCAGTTCTCATAAACATCAGTAATAAGTTTATACTGCTATCGTTTTTCAGAGTAATATGATGGAAGAGTAGTGGTGCATGGAGTAGTCTAGTAATCGGTTTTATTTATTTACTCTTCGGGAAAACACTAATATTTATTTATTTTGAAATAAATGAACAATTTTGAAATTTTTAATCTTTTTTATTAGAATTGAAACATGTTTTGAAGATGAACATGTTTTGACCACATGTCTTTTTAAATATGAAATTTTAAAATTTTGTGATAAATTTTAAATATTTGTTTAAGCTGGATCTTTTGGGATTTTGTGCATTTGTTAAAAAACGTGAACATACTTAAAAGTATGATTTTTTAGAGCAAGAAGATTTTGAAACACCCTTTATCTTAAAAAAAAACACACACGCTCGATGTCCGCAATTTAAAACATGATTGTTGGTGTCTAGACCATGTAGTATAAAGTTGAGAAAGTCATAGGGATGTCCTTTGATGGCTCCTCCTTCAGGCTTCCACTATCATTAGGTAGAAGAGGAATGGTGTAAGTGTTTTTAGCGGGATATACATAAAAAATAATAGTATAGCATTCGAGGTTTAATAAATAGTTCAAAATTAATTCTTCGGATTTTCAGAGGATTTAAATGCAAAAGAATTTCTTTTGGCTGGAAGAGTAGTGGTGCATTCAAGTGGGATTATTTAAAAAGAATTATTTGTTGTTAATATTCAAAATCAAACATATTTTTACAATGTTGATTATTTTTTAGAAAATGCTGGTTGTTGGGTTTACAAATTATGTTTGGTTTTTTTCTTTTGCTCTATTTAAACTTGGCCCAAAGATCACAAACCCCCGTCCCATCATCACAATAAAAAAGCAAAATTTTCTTTGTTGCCCATCACTGTCATGCGGGTGGAGGCCACGTACCCAAACAAAAAAAAAGTTGAGGCCACGCACACCATCACGTGTACGTCTCGTCTTAAGGCGTCAAATTTGCTGGGCCCTTCCTCTGCCGTTGAAGCTTATCCCATTCTACCCCGAGTTCCTTCTTATTCCATCGCCTCATTCTATCCCCTCCTTTCTCCTGCTCGATCTGCTGCTCCCGAGCACAACCACCTAGTCCCTGAGCTCCTTCTTCCGCCGATGACCGAAGCCACCGAGCGGGCCCCCGTCGCCGCCCTGCATTCTTTTCCCCGCCATCTCCCTCTTCCCTTATTCTCTTTTCCCCGTTTACTCTCATCTCCCTCTATCTCTCTTGCTCTCTGTTGCAGGGAGGCCGCCATGGACGCCCGAGGTCCTCCGCTCCGACCCATGCCCCGGCGGCCCTGCCGACATCGTCGCCTAGGTGAGCAGTAGCTGCACTGCGACGTTGCCCCGTCTCTTCTCTCCCTCTCTATCTCTCCCCTGACTCTCTCTTCTCTCTCCGAACCCTCTCTATTTTCTTCAACAGGAAGACCACCATGCCCGCTGCAGGAACTTCGAGCCGACCCCGCAGCATGGAGACCGCCACCGCCCATCCGTTGTCGGGAATCGCCGGATCCGGCCCCTCTCCGGTCTGCCTCGCCATCCTTCGTCCGTTCCTGATATCTTCCCGGCGCCAGGAGCTCAGGCGAGCGCCGCCACAAGACCCTGCCTCCTCTGCCCCGTAGTTCGCCATGGAGGTCGTCGCCTCTCCATCTCAATCCACGATGGTCTCCCCAGGGGCCCGCCATGGAGGTTGCCGCCTCTCCTGTCTCGATCCGTCTGCCGCCGGATCCACGGCGGAGCAGCCGAGATCCGCCGCCCGTTACGCGACGCCTCGGCCTGCCAAGGCCAGCGCCGAGGCCGACAAGGCGCGCAGGAAGGCCAAGGCCCTCACCAAGCAGCGGGAGGACTTGCGGGCTAGGCTCGCCTACCGCAAGCGCACCCGCAAGCTCACCTCCATGCCGGCCAAGGCCACCGCCGCGACGCTAGTTTTTTTTTAAAACGAATAGTTTCCCAGATCCACTTAATAGGGACTGCGGGTTGATTTTGCAGAAATAGAGGGACGTTTTTGTAAATTGGCGACGACGTACGACAGAAATCCTACGTGCTTTATTATTAGGTAGAGATAAACATATACTGGAAGTGTACATGGTAAAACATACAATAAAATCTCGGTTCTACACAAAGGGAGTGAAAGTAAAAACTGTTAGCTTTAATCTTGATTTCATTGTATCCGCATGTTGGTTTTTTCGTCATGCATGTAACTTAGGTGATCTTAGAGAGTAGCTAGTCCGGTGAAGCTTCAACGGAGATGGTCGGAGAAGGCGAGATGCTAGGACCGCGTGTTATACGGCGAGCACGGCGAGATGCCGATGGCAGTGTGAAGCTGCAATGCTGCGCGAGGCGGCAAGACTGTGTGATACGGCAAGCACGTGTATGACCGGACGTGCTGGACTGATTATGGAGGAGACAAGAGATCTGGTGAGTTAGTTGCATGCAAGTCGTAGTTAGCTGCATATCCGGGTCATGTGACCGTTGAGAGATTGGCACAAGTGACGAGTATAGACGTGCATGTAGTTAGTGGTTAGATAGTGTGGTAGTGCATGGAGTTATAGTTGAGCTAGTGGCCGGGTGATGCGTAAGTGCATGGGTTAGTGGCCAGTGTAGTGGCGTGAGTTGTGGGGCTTGAGTGCTTGCCCCTGATGTATATATATGTGTTGCATATTAATGAAAACGGAGGCCGTGAGGGCTGAAGGAAACCATGTAGCGCATGTGATTGTCACCGGGAGAGATAAGGCAAAGCTAATTTCCTCCCTGGTGAATGTGTGTGTGCGTGTGTGTTTTCTGCCCCGGTGTGTGTCTTTGTGTTCGAGAGAGAAACAAGGAAACAAGAGAGAGTTGTGTGAGGCAACAAGAGGAAGAAGAAGAGCAGCGCTGCGAGAGGCGGCGCCAACAATTGGTATACAGAGCCTGGTTGATCTGCAGCTGCCGCGGCGTGGCGTACTCCATGCGAGATGGAGGCCGGTGGCAAGGAGGAGGTTTGTGGCGGCGCCAAACCGCTGGTGGCTGATTGCGCTGCAATGCCGTGAGATATTGATGGCTTGGTGATCGGCGTCGCCAAGGCGTCGTCCATGCCAAGTGGTGGCCGCTGTGTGCGGCAAGACGGTGTGGCGATCGGCACCGCGAAGGCGTCATCCACGTCAAGAGATGGCCACTGCATGCGGTAGGAGGTTGTGGTACTCGGCGTCGTGACGGCGTCGTCCACGGCAGGACGGTGTGGTGATTGGCGTTGCGAGGGCGTCATCCACTACGAGATGGTCCATGGCAACCGGCGCCACGACGGCGTCGACACCGACAAGTGGTTGTGGCGCTGCGATGGTGTTGTCAAGTGGTTCCGGGTGATCCGCGTCGAAAATTAGAGAATCAAGATTAAGGGGGAAAATGTTAGCTTTAATCTTGATTTCATTGTATCCGCATGTTGGTTTTTTCGTCATGCATGTAACTTAGGTGATCTTAGAGAGTAGCTAGTCCGGTGAAGCTTCAACGGAGATGTGCGGAGAAGGCGAGATGCTAGGACGCCGTGTGATACGGCGAGCACGGCGAGATGCCGATGGCAGTGTGAAGCTGCAATGCTGCGCGAGGCGGCAAGGCTGTGTGATACGGCAAGCACGTGTATGACCGGACGTGCTGGACTGATTATGGAGGAGACAAGAGATCTTGTGAGTTAGTTGCATGCAAGTCGTAGTTAGCTGCATATCCGGGTCATGTGACCGCTGAGAGATTGGCACAAGTGACGAGTATATACGTGCATGTAGTTAGTGGTTAGATAGTGTCGTAGTGCATGGAGTTATAGTTGAGCTAGTGGCCGGGTGATGCGTAAGTGCATGGGTTAGTGGCCAGTGTAGTGGCGTGTGTGTGCGTGTGTGTTTTCTGCCCCGGTGTGTATCTTTGTGTTCGTGAGAGAAACAAGGAAACAAGAGAGAGTTGTGTGAGGCAACAAAAGGAAGAAGAAGAGCGGCGCTGCGAGAGGCGGTACGGTGCACCGGTATTCCGCTTCTGTGTTACAAAATATCAACTTTATTATGCAAGTGGCTTTGGCGCATCCGGATCCTATAGCGGAACATGGGTGCGTTGCACCGCTCCCATCTATGGTCTTTTGATCCACAAGTGGCGCTACTAGGAATGAGGTTGGAGTACTTCTATCTTTTCAATGGACTTTAAATTTGTATGTATACTTATCCATGAACAGAGGGAGTGGTAACTAAATTTACAATGTTATCAGCTCTGGAAGTTTTCCCTCCGTCTCTAGACACACCCACGTTGTTTTGGTCGGCACATCGAGCTCCTCAAATCGTCGGCAGAGCATTGTGCAAGCATGGACCAAATCAATGGGCCACGATGTTGTAGATGTGTATAATAGCGCTGACATATTAAATGGGGCCAACAGCCAACCTCTGCCGCGCAGGTCATTAAACTTCTCCGCGCTCTCATTTCACACACACCTCCTACCTTGTACTGCTACAAGGAATTAAAACCCAACTTCTTTGGGCAAAGTTAAAAAACCAACTTACATTGACTTTCTAGTCTTCAACATACCAACACGGGATTTTGAAATGAGATAGGAGTACCAGGATGCATCTTCCTACAGATTCAAAGCGTAAGAGTAGGAGCCATGGGGAACTTAGAGCAACTTTAGCAGACCCCGCATCCACCCCGACCCGCAAAATAACCGCCAAAATACGGGTACGGGCCGGAAAGCCTGCCCGATCAGACCCCGCATCTCGCCCCGGCCCGTAAAAAAATTTAGGGGGCACGGCAAATTCTCCGCCCCAACCCGGGAAAACACGGGTTTCCCCCTCGCGGCTGCGTGCCCTGCATCGGAGAGAAGCAGTTGTCCGGAGGGACATTTCAGCCCGCGTGCTTTCCCCCTCCGGATCCGGGGAGAAGAGCCGGCCCCCGTTGTTGTCGCCGCCGCCGGGGATGGACCACCGTCCAGCGCACCCCCTCGTCGCCGCCCGGTATCACCCGCCACCGGTTAGTCCCTTTTTTGTGATTTTTGCGAGCTGTGTAGTAGATTGACGCGCCGGTGTGCGTGTAGATGGAGTTGACCCCGTGCGAGAAGTTCTTGCAATCCGATTCGGACGATACGGACGACTCGGATGTTGAGAGCATGCTTGCGAACTTCCTGCAGCAAACATTAGTCATGGCGCTTGCCGTGAAGGAGCATGAAGACGAGCACCGGAAGAGGAGGCGAGGATCGACTGTCGGTCGTTTGTGCATTCCTCGGAATCGCCATCTTGGGAACGAGATGTTGATGCAAGACTATTTTGCAGAGAATACTACATATCCTCCGCACCTCTTCCGGAGAAGGTACCGAATGCGCCGATCCCTCTTTGTGAAAATTGTTGAAGCTTGCGAGGCAAATTTCCGGTATTTTACTCAAAGAAGAAATGTCGCAGGATTAAAGGGATTTAGTGCATATCAAAAAATCTCCGCAGCTATGCGGGTGATTGCATATGGCGTTCCGCCTGACTATGCCGATGAGTATCTTCACATTGGTGAAGATAGCACAATTGAGTCTGTGCGTAGATTTGTGAAAGTGATCATCCGTGTCCTCGGTCCTGAGTATCATCGGGCACCAATGAAGATGACACAAAGAAATTGATGGCATCAAATGAGAGGAGAGGTTGGCCTGGCATGCTAGGTAGTATTCATTGTATGCATTGGAATTGGAAAAATTGCCCCAAGGCTTGGCAAGGAATATATCAACTCTCGTGATGCAACAATTGTGCTTGAGGCCGTAGCATCCGAAGATTTGTGGATTTGGCATTGCTTTTTTGGTATGCCGGGCACTCTCAATGATATCAATGTGTTGCAACGGTCTCATTTCTTTGCTAGGCTTGCTTGTGATGATGCTCCTGCTTGCAACTACACTATCAATGGGCATGAATACAAAAACGGGTACTATCTTGCAGATGGTATATACCCTCCATGGTGCACATTTGTCAAGAGCATCAAAGAACCCAAAACAAAAAAAACAATGTGAATTTGCAAGGGTGCAAGAGGCAGCCCGAAAAGACATTAAAAGAGCATTCAGTGTTTTTCAATCTAGGTTTGACATTGTCCGTGGTCCTGCTCGTCTTTGGGATAAGAAAACCTTGAGGAACATAATGACATGATGTGTTATCCTGCACAATATAATTCTTGAAGATGAGAGAGGATTGAACTTAGAATTCTTTTACGACAATGTGGGTAGCCGTGTCAAACTAGTAAGAGACCCAAACCGCAATAGAGCTTTTCTTCGGACATACAAGGAGATTGAAAATGCAGACACCCACTTTTAACTTCAGGAAGATCTCATTGAGCACCATTGGCAAAGGGCTGGGCAGTGACTTATTTTTGTATTCATTTGTATTTTTATTCATGAAAAATTTTGTATTGCACTATTTAAATTTGCTACAGTTATTTAAATAAGTATTTGTAATGCAGATGATTATTGTTTTATGTTTGATTGGAATAATTCAGTTTGTTTTCGTTTGTTGAATTACGTTGTATTTGATATTTGCCGACTGCTGATATGCGGAATGCAGCAGTGCAAAGAGCACATCCCGCATAGTCGACCCGTAAAAAAGTATATTCCCTGAATGTACTTTTTTACGGATCCGTTTGGGGGTCTGCATCTGTGCCAACCCGAGCCGACCCGCAAAAAGCTGTTTTGCACGAACTGCAAACGCGTTTTGTGGGCCGGCGGGATGCGGGGTCTGCTAGAGTTGCTCTTAGCAATATCTACGACACCCCAAATTTGTGCAACGGAGACCCGTGAAACAGTTTTTGACAGCGACGCCCTTATCCTATAAAGCTCACCTTTTTCCTTGGCGTAAGAACCACGTATGTCATGGAGGTGCGATGGTAATAAGGAGGACCAAATGATAAATCATACATTTTGCAAGACAATGACGCGGTGCCTATGAAGAGAATAGAAACCCAACATCTTGTCGTG